GCACAAGAGGAGAGAATGGAGTTGTAAGACCTGTGCAAACGAAATTAAATGCCATAAATAAAATAATATAATGCAAGAAACCATGGAAAGACTTTTAAATCTTTTACTGTTGCTGCTTTTAATGGTATTATATTTAATGAAAACCCAACAGAAGAAAATGAAGCAGACACTCATCTATTAAAAAGCACTTAAGGTGGTCTATACTGAGTAAAAATTAAAAACCTTAGATTAAAAGATTGTGTAACATTTTCGTGTGTGTGTGTGTGTAAATATATATATATATATTTGCAAAGCTTTGTTTTTGATAGTGAATTAGCATTCTGCCCTAATCTTAGTACTTGCATAAATTTTTATCTGCAGGTTTCCATTGTATTATGAGTTGAAGATCGCTTTTGTTATTTGGTTGCTCTCTCCATATACTAGAGGGGCAAGTTTAATCTATAGGAAATTTCTCCATCCTCTTCTTTCTTCAAAGGAAAGGGTAAGAAATTATTTTCAAAGTTTGGCATTAAATGCAATAATTAATTCTCTGGTGCTTAAAATATTAATATACTGTGTTAATAGAGGCCATGTATACACTACCACTTACCTCATCAAAACTTAAGTTGCTCAGGGTGTGAGGAAAAACACCCCCTGCTCCTCAAGTGGCATAAGTTACACTAGGATAAAGGGTGGTATGCACCATCTCTTAGAGAGCTGCAGCTGCATCGGCACAGCTGCCTTGCTATATGGTCTCTAGAGTAGCTGTAGCCTAAAACATGTAATATAAGTTGAAACATAAATACAGCATAAGCTGTGTTATCAGGTTTTTTTAATATCTGGAAAACTTGGTTAACCAGCATCTGTTATACAATTCCTCCTTCAGTTAAATGAAAAAATTCCCATAGCCATCTGACATCATTTTTCTGACATTTCTAGCACTTACAAGAGTCAAGTTTGTAAACTTGCAGCAGTAAAGTATATTTGTGTCATGCTTCTGCATATAATACTATTATCAGATATCATATAACCATTCTGCAACTTCAGCTTGCATACGGAGAAAAAATTATGAACCGTTAGTGTAAAAGCTCGAGGAACCAGCACATTTGATGAACTTGCAACCCCCATTCCCATGAATGCTAGATAACAGAACTTGTATATTTTACCTTGACGTCTTCCATCAATATTTTGATGATAAAATAATGCTGGGGTAATAAAGTGGTTTTTTTTTTTTTTATATTCAGGGATTGTGTGTGTAAACTTAAATATGTATTTTGTTGTGTTGTTTTTTAGGAGATTGATCAGTATATTGTGCAAGCCAAAGAACGAGGTTATGAAACTATGGTGAATTTTGGGAGACAGGGTTTAAATTTGGCAGCTACTGCTGCTGTGACTGCTGCTGTAAAGGTAACTTTCACTTACACTCATCAGTTTGGTGTAAATATTATCGAAAGAAAAAGCAAAGTGGTACTGGGTATTTACTGATCTTAACTCAAGAATTCATTCTAAAAGTAACATGTTTAAAAATGGAGGAATGTAATTTAAGGATAGTAATTTTGAGAGCCTTTTATTTTTTAAACTATGGCTATTAGTTTAAAAATGAATAGCATGTGAACTTTTGGATAATGGTTATCAGTTGAGTGTGGTAAATCAAAATATAGACTACAATGTTATTTCAAGCTGTTAGTGAAAGATCAACATTCTTTTTTTTCTTTGTTGCACTTTCTTGCTGGTAATCACACTATTTACAGGATTTCTGGCTTCTTTCTGCTGTCTTCCTTCAATCAATTTAAGGTAACTTCATCTATAAACTAAGGCATGAAATATTACTACCAAAGATAAAAGCTGTTTTGTGAAATTAATTCCTTGTTTGTGATTTTTAGATCCAATTTTGAAAGTCATGCACGACATAAAAGCTTGCATCATAGTTGTCTGATTTGCATATTCTTGCTTTGAGTAGTATTTTTATATTAAATCATAAATCTGAATAAAATGCCATTTATGCAATTGAATAATTTATGCCAGCAAATTAACTGAAATTAATGAAGGGAGTTTCCCAAAATATTTGATTGAAAAGCTCCACTAATGAAGGCAACCAAGATAGCTGTCAATTTGTAATTTAGTGAAATAAGTAAGGAAATGTTTTATGTTTGAAAAAAGTTTTGGTCAACACAGGAGATTGGAGAGAGTGAATTGGCTAGTACAGTTTAATCTGTGGTTAAGTGTAAATTGCCCATTTTTTAAGTAAAAATGCAGAAAATAGCATTAGGAATTATACATTCTGATTTGGTAAACAATTTCAGGCCTAATTTGGTCTAATTTCCAGGAAGAGCAAGTGAAACTACTATGTTCATAATAATGGCATTGAAAATGTTTAAAGCTCTATATAAGCCACTAAAAAGCAATTTATAGAAATACTATGTAAATTTTTTAAAATGTCAACACAAGTCAAAATTACTATTGTTTGGGGAGAAACCTGTTGACTATTTGGCTTTTGGATACAATGAAGAAAATTAAAGACTTCTATGAAAGGAATATTTTCACATCATTTCAAAGACATTTTTTTAAACTAATAACTAGAAGAGTTACCCAGTGTTGCTCAGGTCCTTAACTCAATTTTAATTGTTTGGAAAATAAAATAAAAATGTACATGATTGATTTAAATCAGTGCTCTGGGGTGGGGCTGGGGATGAGGGATTCAGCCCTCTCTCACTGTAATAGCCTGGGGCTAGGTGAGAAGCACCTCTCCATGGCTGGTGCAGCTTCGTTGGGCATAGCTGGGGAAGGGGTACATGTGCCTCAGCTGTGACAGCTCCAGATTGGTTTGCCCCCTACTCTCCTCAGTAAGAATGAGAAATGCAGCAAACTGTGCACTTTCCTCTCACTCCCAGACAAAGGGAACCAGCCAGCCATGTCCCTGTGCGAACTGAGGGGTAGAGGGGAGCTTAAGCCCTGCTCATGTTCCCTAAAAGAGAGCTGAGGGCTTGGAGTTGGGGCACCCCCAGCCAGCCTCTTTCACCTGCCTGGTGATTCTCTTTTCTGTATGTTTTTATGAGAAGCAGTCCCATTCTAAGCACATCCCATTTTCCTGGCACAACCAAACCCTGACCTTTAAGTTATGATAAGTTATGAATTTGGTGGTCCTAGCTTTTACTGTTTAGGCGGAATTCTTGAACAGACAAACACACATACAAACTCTGTCACAAACATAGTAGATATGAGAGTGACCACTGGGGGCAGTGGGTCCACAGAAAAATATACAGGCTGTCCCTGCTTTATGTCCAAGATACGTTCCAAAAAAGTGGACCTACAGCAAAATAATGTAAAGTGGGGAATTTCTTTGATTTATGTTCAAGCAGCTGACTTTCGTTTGAGCAAATTTTTCATGTATTGTTTTTGAGTGACGTAAGATTGGCGTGTGGAAGGACTTGTAATGAAACAGTTCCTAACTTCATCAATGACGTTAGTGTGGAACCGACGTATACCAGGGCGACGTATAGTGGGGATGGTCTGTACTGCAGAGTGTCCATTGGGGGCAGGTGTATCACCAAGAGTGTCAGTAGCAGCTTCGCAGAGCCGGCATGCACAGAGAGCTGGCTTAAAAGCTAGTTCCCTGTGCCTATCAGCTCCTGCCTCCATCCCCTCTACCATGCTGCTCCCTCTGATAGAAAGACAGCAGCTTTAGTGGGGAGGCAGGTGGCTCTGCGGAAACAGATACGTGTGGGGAGCTGGCTTGATAGCTGGTTCCCTGTGTGTATTGTCTCCCACCTGCCCCCCTCACCCTCTGCGCTGCTTCTTCTCCATCAGAGGCAGCTGGGGGAGGAGCAGGCGGCACTGCAGGATGCAGTGCTTGTGGGGAGCTGGCATTCACCCCTCCACCTTCCTTGCTGCCTGCTGATGCAGAGGGGAGGGAGTTTACATGTAGTCATTTGGTTAATTGTTTAAACGGCTACACGCTAACTTCCCTATTTCAGACTCACCTATTCCTTTCTTTCTGTGGTAACAAATAACTTCTGCATTCTCAGTACCTCAGAATGACTTCTGCTGTTCAAGAGTCACTGGAAGAATACTTACTCAGTTGGTAATTTGTTATACATCCTCATGAATATCATAGAATCCTAGGGCTGGAAGAGACCTCAGGAGGTCATTGAGTCCAGCCCCCTGCCCAAAGCAGGACCAACCCCAACTAAATCATCCCAGCCAGAGCTTTGTCCAGCTAGGACTTAACCTCTAGGGATGGAGGTTCCACCACCTCCCTCGGTAACCCATTCCAGTGCTTCACCGCCCTCCTAGTGAAATAGGTTTTTCCTAATAATCAATCTAGCTCTCCCCTGCTGCAACTTGAGAATATTGCTCCTTGTTCTGACCTCTGTCACCACTGAGAACAGCCTCACTCCATCCTCTTTGGAACCCCCTTTCAGGTAGTTGAAGTCTGCCATTGAATCCCCCTGACTCTTTTGTAGATTAAATAAGCACAAATTCTTCAGCCTCTCCTTATAAGTCACGTGCTCCGCCCCCCTAATCATTTTGGTTGCCCTCCGCTCGATTCTCTCCAATGTTTCCACATCCTTTCTATAGTGGGGGAGCCCCAGAATTGGATGCAGTACTTCAGATGTGGCCTCCCCAATGCCGAATAAAGGGGAATAATCACTTCTCTAGATCTGCTGACAATGCTCTTCCTAATGTATGCTAATATGCCATTAACCTTCTTGTCTACAAGGGTACACTGTTGACTCATATTCAGCTTCTCATCCACTGTAATATCTGTACAATTAATCCAGTGCAAATAAGTTGCCTGGGAAAAAATTATAGTCATAGTACCAAAGAAATTAAGATGCCAATGCCATTTTAAAAGGTGCAGAAAGACAGGAACCTCTCTGCAACTCTTAAACTATCTTAAAATCAGAAATTCACCCTCTTTAATGTCCTATGTCATTTCAAAAACTGGGGTGTCATTACTCTAGCACATGGAGACTGTGCATATATGCTATCTGGTGACTTCATTCCTTGTATATAAAGGGCTTGTTATCTTGCCCAAGTCCACTGTTCCTACCTTGAATAAGTGAAGAGGACAATACCCTTAATAGTTAACACCGAAGAAGGAGGCTTGCAATTCCAGAAAGTCTTTTAGGACTGGGACACCCCACAATATGTAGTTTTTTGCATCTATATAACAAAGGTGTTACAGAGGACCTCAAGCCTCTGACTTTTTGTCTTGTTGGGCTTCCTGTGATGGATTTAGTAGATCTGCCTCTCAACTTCCATCCAGCTTGATCTACAAAGAACAGTGACAGGATAGTTGCACTTGTTTGGTAAATGTGAATCCTCTTCCTCCAATGAGTCTGAAGAATCATGTGGACAACAATTTCTGTTAAAGGGGGTACTACTCCTGGGGCTAATCAACAAAGACAGAGTCTAATTTTGAAGGGAGATCTTTGGTACTTATGTGGCTCCTTCACTTGAGTATTGGTACACCTCACAATCTTCAGTGTATTCACCCAACCCGTTTTATAGATGGAGCACTGAGGGACAGACAGATAACTGACTTGCCCGAGGTCACAAAGGAGACTGTTGTGAATTAATTGGCCAAGCTTTTGAAATTACCATCTAAGCATTTTATTCTGCTAGAGGAATACACAAATACATTTGAGACTTAGGGCTGAACTGGCAAAGCTGGGTCAGAGGCTACCATGCTCAGTCTGTCAGACTTCACATGTACTATTTGGACTGCATTGAGAACCACAGTGGCCTTTATAATGATGGAAAAATTTCTTTGGCTGAAGCAGTAGTTGGTTGATGAGACATTTAAGGCTAGCTTAGTCACTTAACCTTTCAGCAGGTGGTGAACTCTAGCAGCCAAAGCCTTTCAGATAAGAACATAAGAACGGCCGTACTGGGTCAGACCAAAGGTCCTTCTAGCCCAGTATCCTGTCTACCGACAGTGGCCAGCACCAGGTGCCCCAGAGAGGGTGGACCAAAGACAGTGATCAAGCGATTTGTCTCCTGCCATCCCTCTCCAGCCTCTGACAGACAGAGGCCAAGGACACCATTTTATCCCCTGGCTAATAGCCTTTTATGGACCTAACCTCCACGAAATTATCTAGCTTCTCTTTAAACTCTATTATAGTCCTAGCCTTCACAGCCTCCTCTGGCAAGGAGTTCCACAGATTGACTACACGCTGTGTGAAGAAGAACTTTCTTTTATTAGTTTTAAACCTGCTCCCCATTAATTTCATTTGGTGTCCTCTAGTTCTTCTATTTAGGGAACTAATAAATAACTTTTCTTTATCGGCCCTCTCCACACCACTCATGATTTTATAGACCTCTGTCATATCCCCCCTCAGTCTCCTCTTTTCTAAACTGAAAAGTCCCAGTTGCTTTAACCTCTCCTCATATGGGACCCGCTC